GATCGGAACAACATTGGTGTGGTCAAGTGAAAAACTGAATAGGATGTTGGGGGAGGGGTGGGGGTCAGGTGAAACACTGAATAGGATGTTGGGGGAGGGGTGGGGGTCAGGTGAAACACATGACAAGTCTTTTAAGAAAGCAAGCAAGGTATTAGCCGTTGACTAACAACAGTACCCGTAGAATATCCCCATGACATCAATCTGATAGTTAATACATAAATCATTCAATAACTGTAATTTCTGTAACATCAAATCAAGTTATGAACAAAACAAATCCATCATTTAAAAAGAAGTTTAGAATATGGAAAGTTGAGGAAGTATTACTGTGACTTAGCCAGTTTTTCAACGACCAAATAAAGATGTTTTTCATGTTGGTGTTTTTACGCTGAGAGGGATTCAAATTCGGAGTAGAAATAAAGCAATACTCAACAAAATCTCCCCCCCCCCCCGAAAAAAAGAGAATCAAACTGGGATCTTCGGCGTGTGAAGGTAAAGGGTCTAACTGCTACACCACTAACCCAGTGTTAAAATATTCAATTTACAGACATATAATTATATATATATATATATAGGCTTGCTGCCAAGTTTATCAAAGATACGTGAAACATCAAGCACTGTCTTGGTCTAACAAGTAAATACAAATTCACACACTGAGATATACTGAACAAAACGAAAATCTACACTCTCTTCAATTGACCGTCATTTGAAATCAAAACGTACAAAAGCAGAGTCTCAGAATATAGGAAAATGAAGAAACAGACGAAGACACCCCCACCCTCCCCTCTTTCAAAACTAGTGCAGGACGGTACCGGCGAAATTAAGTTCCTGTACTTTACCGGTACTGGGTGCCGAGTTCCGTCAGTACCTGAGAATATGTGACGTCAGAGGCTCTGCACGTCTCGTGTCTCGTGTGTTAAATGATCGTTTCCATAGCACTACACATTGATTTAAAAAATATTTTCTGAGAGTAAAACAACAATAATGGCAGATAAAATATTGATTTCAATTTTCATTTTTGAAATCAGCGTATCAATTTGCAAAGTTGTCTGCTTTGAGCCAGTAACAAACACAATTTAATTTTTCTTTTTAGTAGTAGTTGATTTTGAATGTGATATTCTGTATCAAGGTCAGCTAGTGTTTTGTGCAATGCATCTGATATCACAGCTTCTACACACTGCACAGTAACTGGAGCTTTAGTCTCAATGGCGTCATCCCCCGCTGTCCTAATCACTTGGTGTCGGCCTGAACCTTCCACCATACCGATACTGGAGACCTGGTGCCGGTGTAACTGAGCACGAGGCAGGGGTAGGCCACGAAAAACATGGAAGAGAAGTGTGGAAAGGGACCTGAGAAAGATGAAGCTCAGTTTGGAACGAGCTTGGAAGGATGGCCTAGAACAGAGATAAATGGGAGGAGCTTGTATGTGACTTATACCTTGCCAGGGGTGGAAGGCATTGATGATGATGGTGCCGGTACTGACACCACCTGTTGTAGTACAGTGAGTACCGGCACTAGGTACCGGTACATGTACCTGCCCAGCCCTACTCAAAACCCCCGCCTCTTCCCAGTTTTCAAGACTTGTAATTTCCTTCCAGAAAATAATTACAAAAAAAACAAACAAACGATTACAGCAACAGAAAAGACAGAAGCACCACCAAAACACAGGCAACAGCAGCGACAACAACAACAACAGCAGCAGCAAAAACAACAACAACAGCAACAACAACAACAACAACAACAACAACAGCAGCAGCAGCAGTAGCAGCAGCAGCAACAACGACTACGATGACGACAATAACGAAAACAGCAAAGGTATCAAATGCTAAAAAAAAAAGTTCTATTTGGGCAACACTTCAGAGTTTGCACGAAAGCGCCAAAATTTTCCCCCGGGAAGCACATACAACAATGGTTTGTGAAAAAAAGTAGAAAGACTTAACCATACTTCAGGGCTCACCGACCACGATGAAAACAATACTTTATAATATACCCATCCACAATATTAACAACAACATAAACATCACCGACGTTGAAAATTACTAACAGCCAAAATAAAGATGGCATAAACAAGCAAAAGTGGGGAAAGCAGAAAAATAAGGCTATCTACAAAAGCAAGAACAGCAACAACAACATTAATTATAACAACAACAACATAAGTAATAATAACACATCCACCAGCTCCACCACCACCACCAACAACAATAACAACCACAGCAGTAGCAGCAACAAGAGCAAACGAACAACAGAAACAACAACTTAAGTCAAAACACAAAAAGAGACCACTTCTCATGAGACAGATTCTACCACGCTGCGTAAACCATTCTCCGACCTTTCTCTTATTCACAATTAGCCGACCCATTTTCTCTAAACAGGATTCTAACCAGTGTGAAGTAGTGGCCAATTTGCTAGAGAAAACACGATTGTATTGACCAGTCTCCCTTTCATCCCTGTCCCCGTGCACTCGTAGAGTTAAGTTGCTGGGACTAGCCACTGTAGCCACTCTACCCGCCCCCCTCCAACACACAAATTAATTATAGTCCCATTAAGCACCGCGAGTTGACCTCAGTATGTCAGGAACACTGCAAAGGAGCAGTCAATCAAATGTGCAGGTGTGAGAGAGTGTTTTCATATTACCAAATAAGTAGAAACTATAGTAATTTCTTGACTTTTTTAGTTAGGAAATAGTGCTAGTATTTGCTTGCAATACGAATCTAGGGTGGTTGAATTTAGTTTGTTGTTGGCCCTAAATGAAATAGGTGATAGAATCAATTTCGGAGCGTGGACATTTGAAAAGCAGCAGCATTACACTCTGATAGGTTCTAAGAATGACCAACATTGGCCAAATCGTTTCAGTATTGGAAGAGTTTTATGATCTATATTAAAACAAAAAATACCACTTTTTGCTCACCCAACAGTTCCATAATTGTTTAATATTATGTAGTTCATGTCAGCGCTGGTCAACCTTTTGTTCACGCCAACACCCACATTTGCTACCTTTACGAAGTTTTCCTTTTCGTACCGCCCACCTTCATCATTAAATAATACCATCCAGTACCTACGGCTCATTCAAATGACGAAATCGCCCGCTAGAGACTGAGAGCAATATTGCTCAGGTTGGCAGGCACTTAGCTGAAAAAAAATGTCAGAGAAATTAATACGAAAATTTATGAGGAGGAAAAAAGTGTAGCAGTAACATATTTTTGGTTATTACCATTAATTGAACCCCCCCCCCCCCCCCCACCCAAAACACCACCATCAAAAACAAAACAAAACAAAAATAAAACAAGAACAACAACGACCCCCCCCCCCCTAACAAAAACAGTAGTGACCACGGTTGTAAGAAGTACAACACCAGCCACAGCTGCAGCACCAACAACTTACGATTGCATAAAGAGAAACAAAACAACAGAAAATCCGTAGGTGGTTGCCGGTAGTTCCGGAGGGTTTTTTTTCTCCCTTTACATTGTATTTCTCCTCCTTTTTTAAACTTTGTATTCTACCTTCTAATAACACCTCTGCTCTTTTTCACGTACATGACGTATCTGTGTTCCATAATATGCCGCAAACTTCTTATTAAAATCAAACTAAATAGAACATTCAATAGCTACTCTAAAAATAAAGTTGTTCAAGTGGAACAATTAATTGCGCGTATGCATCATTTTCAGAGTATCGCTACTTCCTCCACCCGCGCCCTAACCTTTCAACCTCATTCCCGCCCTATGTCCACATAGATAACGACAAACAAAGAAACACACACTAGTCCACATAGATAACGACAAACAAAGAAACACACTCTAGAATAATGAAGGAGATATTGAGGATATGGATGATGAAGCTTGTGGTAATGATTATGATGATGCTAATGATGATGAAAGTGATCAAGAGGACAATAATGACAGAGACGTAACCAAAACAGAAAACAAGCCTGGCTTTTTATTGTGGATCAGTAGGTAAACGAACGAAATAATTTTTAGTTCTGGTTTTACGGCACTTGCCACACAGTCACGTCATATTATTGCCGAAGACGAGATGTCATACTAGGCTATAACATAAAAAGAAAAGAAGAAGAGGTAAGGATTCTAGATGTTTGATAGGAAAAAAGGAGAAAACCACACCAGAACACCAGCCAACTAACGGCACCTAAAAGAGCAAATGATGAAACAAAAAAGCAAAACAAAAAGAAAACAAAAACAAAAACAAAATCACCTCCAATACAAACAAAACCTTGAAATATATGAAAGAAGAAGTGAATGGATACATTTTTTAAAGACAAAAGCGTCCGCACGTCAAAAGTTTCATACTAACCGTTATGATATCCATGCTGGAAAATTATCCAGGTACATTTTTGCAAAGCACCCGAAGAATACGAGCAAAGATAGGAAATCCAGCTCATTCCTCCTCGCAGGGGACAGGGTTTGAAATCTCCGAAATTATATTCATACAGTTGAAGAGAAGAGGCGAGGCTCTTATAAAAACAGGTCTTAGGTGTTGTGGTCGCGGTGATATTGGGGGGCACAGCAGCCGTGTCAAAGAGCACAAAAGAACAGATATATATTCGAAAACTTTTCGCCAAGCAATTCAATTCCACAAGTATGCGGGAATGACGATTAGTACAGCGGTATTGTTAGGCGTGCTGGTTCCCCACCCCTCCCCAGTTCAGGCAGACGTCAGAAGTCGATATCCTTCATGTTTTTTTAGAGCCCTATGGCGGAGAGGCTTTGGTCAACTGACCCCCGCTTCGTCGCTGTTTGGATCAGAAGCAATGCGAATAGGCCCGTGTGTGTTTTGTTGCTACGACTACATGGCTAAAGAACAGGCGAAGCCAGGGGCCAGCAATCCACTCGTCACATTACTTCTGCTGCTGCCAGTCTGCCTGCTGCTCGATCAGCGCTGGCACCGGCGTACTGGTACTACCGCAAGCCACTGACCATTGTCCAGCTTGCTCTCTCTTGCACCTACTTGGCGGGTGCAAGAAGGAACAAGGGGGAGGGAAGGGAGGGAGGAAAGAGTGTGAAGGGTAATGGAACAGGGGCAAGAGAGGTCACACGACGAATTACAAAGAATTAATACAATATTCATACACAGGACAGCAGGCCCTGACGAATCAAACCCCGCCGCATGAATAATCCCAAATCCCACCTCTCAGGGGAACTGAAAGGATCACGCTACTGAAAAATATGTATTCCGGTTACAGAGATCCAAAATGGAATTGTTTTACAACTTTACGCAGGAGCAATCAAATATTATGCAAACAAATCCACCGAGAACCTCTGTTCTGACAGCTTTTTAGGTACACTCTCGTCCCCCATGGAGTCAAGCTACAAGATGCAAAGTGAAATATCGCGTACGTCCCACGACATGTCAAAGGAAACGCATAGAAATGTTTTTAGATGCATGTTCCTTGAGGCTGTGTGCATTGCGCAACAACTGCACAAATGTATACACACCAAACAATAACAACAACAACAACAACAACAACAACAACAACAACAACAATAACAACAACCCACCACCTACAACAACAGCAAAAACAACAATAACCCAGCAGCACCACCGCCATCACCACCACCACCAACAAAAACAACAATAACCCACCACAACCACCACCACCATCACCACTACTACCACTACCATCACCACCACCAACAGCAGCAGCAACAGCAACAACAACATCAGCAAACAAGAACAACAACAAAAACAACAACAGGTAATTAGCGTGACGACTTAATACATGTGAGTGACAGGAAAAAAAATGTCCAATAGAACAAAGTTTACATTTGCGTTTAAATTATACGCACATTTGACCATACATTAAGTAATGATGATCATAGGGTTTTTACACTTTTCTTTTTGGTCTGAGTCGTTGTCCGAGAAAACTAGGTGCTCGATTTGTACCTACCTTAGGATCAGGATGGGGGGTGGGGAGCAAAAACGTATGAGAAAAAAAAACCCCAGACACTGGCAGGGATCGAACTCTGGACTTCAGGATTGACCGGCGAACACTATACATGTT